AATAATTGTGCCGTCTTCCCCAATTGGCTTTTTTTTTTTTTTTTTTTTAATCATCTTCCATTCTAAACAATTAAACCACGGGTTTCATTACACACTGTGCAGGCAACCAGCCACAAAACCTACATCAAAGGAAGTCCTTGGGCCTTCCCTGGTGGTGCAGTGGGTTAAAGCACAGCACTAAGAGCTAAAACCACTTCTGTATGAATTCGATCCCCGGCTAGGGAGGTGACCCTCATAGTGCGGCAGACCTCTCCTGGGCCACCCTCTGCTCCCCTCAGCAGTGTACTTCGTCATTCGGCCTGTTCTGCTCCCCACTCTGTCTCTGGTGAAGCCTCTCACTGCCTCTGCATCTCTGTCCTGTACCCCAGTTCTGTATGCATAAATAAATAAATCTTTAAAAAAAAAAAAAAAGGAAGTCCTCATGTGACACAAAATGGTTGTCATGTTACATAATTAAGTTTCTTCTTGGATTTAGTTGAGTTTTTTTTTTTTTAAGATTTATTTATTTATGCATACAGAACTGGAGTATAGGCCAGAGGCCCAGGGGCGGTGAGAGGCTTCACCAGAGAAGGAGTAGGGAGCAGAACAGGCCTATCATTGAAGCACACTGCTGAGGGAAGCAGCAGACAAGACAGGAGAGGTCTGTGGGACTATGTGGGTCACCTCCCTGGCTGGGAATCGAACCCATGCTGAAGTGGCTTTAGCTCTTAGTGCTGTGCTTTAACCTACTATACCACCAGGGAGGGCCCAGATTTAGTTGAGTTTTAAAGCTTCATTTAAAAAAAAAAATGCAGGGCTTTAAATCAAAGTTCTTGACATATTTCAGGAAATAAAAGCCTTCAAATAGGGTACAAGAATAAAATGCTAAATATTGATTTAAATGTATGAGAAAATGTATAGAAAAATCACACTTTTTTTTTGGTTATGTCAAATTTTAAGTATTTCAGTCTTTTGAAATATAGAATCTTCCTGATAGCTCAGAAATATCTATACTTCATCAGAAGCACACTTTGTGGAATGTTAATGGAACTGCGGGAGAAAAGGATTAAAAAGTGAACTGAATTGGGGCAATTCTAACTACCCTGTCATTAACAGATGACACCAGGTGCCAGTCCCCATCAACATATTCTTCAACAAATGCCAACACACAGTGCAATAAAATAATTTGCTTATTTTGGGTGTGGGGGGGTCTCCTGTCAATTGTTTGTGGTTCTTTTTTAATTAAAATACTTTTATTGAAGTTATGTTGAATTATAATATTATAGAAGATTCAGGTGTACACCATTAGAAATCAGCATCTATATATGGATTACATTGAGTCTGTCACTAAGAGTCCAAACCTATCCTTGGACTAGGGTTGACCTTTTTTTCTGAAACAACCCATTCTTTCCCTCCTTCCCTCCTGGTAACCACTAATTTGGTCATAGGGCTTATAGTTTGTTTTTGTTTTATTTAGCTCATTTGTTCTGTCCTATAGTTTGAAATCCTCTATCTGAATTTCATTGAGCCTAATACCCTTCAGGTCTCCAGATGGTGTAAATGGCAGGACTTCATCTTTGTTTTCATTACTGAGTAGTATTCCATTATTTATATATATACCACATTATCTTTAGCCACTCACCTAGCACTTAGATTATTTCTGGCATTTAACTTTATTTAGTTAGTCATTTCCCAAACTTCCTTGCTCACAGAAAGCTTCCTCTGAAGAATCCCAAATTCCAGTTTTGAGTGAATGATCCATTGGGTCCTGAAGTCATAATATTAAGGTTCTCTACATTATGTTCACTATTTTGATAAAAAGTATGAAAACATGTCTTTTGTTGACAAATTTAGAAAACATTTCAGGTGAGAAAATAATAATTATAGAGGCAGAAAAATGTGCTAGTTTACCTCTTCTCATCAGCATTTTTTTTTTTAAGATTTATGTATTTATTCATACAGAACTGGGGTACAGGCCAGAGATGCGGAGGGTAAGAGGATTCACCAGAGACAGAGCAGGGAGCAGAACAGGCAGATCAACGAAGTACACTGCTGAGGGGAGCTGTGGGCGGGTCAGGAGAGGTCTGCCACGCCATGTGGATCTCCTCCGGGGCAGGCGGGAATAGAACTCATGCAGAAGCTTCTTAGTGCTGTGCTTTAACCCACTGCGCCACCAGGGAGGGCCCTCATCAGCATTTTTAAAGCACTTTGTATTTGACAGCCATGTTCATTGTTTTCAGATATATTTTATGTAGCCATGTGTTTGTATTTTGAAATCCACACTTAATGTAGTATTTAAGTACCAAGACCATTATTAATTCCAATGACACAAGTCTTTCTGCTTTGGCAGGGGAAACGGTTCAGATCATTCAAATGACTATTTAAGTATTTCAAATGTGAAGACACTTTGAAATTGAGACATATTAGAAAATAGGACCTCTGCACACAAATACAAGACATATTTTGAATTTTGTAAATGTGCATGGGTGAATATTTTTAAAATTACAGAACACCAGCCAATAACAATAAAATCTTGAGGTCATGCTTCTAACATTCCTAAACTAATTATTGGTCAACTTAGTAAATAAGAAAATTTGATTTATATTACTTAATGTAAACTGTTTCCTAAATACAGAAGGGAAATTAATAATGAGATTTTCCTGAGGGTGGGGGTAGGGGAGGGAGGCACAGCAGAGTTCTCAAACAGTACAAGTAAAAATATATGCTTTTTTTTTTAATAATATAATAGTTTATTTTTATATCATTTTGTACATTCTTTTTTCATCTCAATTGTAATCCCCGTGGGTTTCCTATCACCGAGAAAAGTACATGCTTTTATTCTGTGTTCAGGTGAGGTTGGTATAATGCCTGTCTTGACTTTTGTTACAAAAAACATGAAAACCACCTCTGTTGTTGACTTAAACAAGATTTGACATATTATTGGGAGGCGGCAGACCTTTCTTTCCTAATCTGCATTCCAAAACTGAGTCCTGTTTTTCAAATTACACGCTCACTTGGATTTCCCTACTCACCCTTTGATTTATTTTCTCAAGTTTAATCTTTCAGGTTCCCATCTTTTAAGGTTTCCTCATCCATAGAAAGTGTTTCCTGAGGTTTCTTCTCTTCCTTTTCAGGTGTCTCTTTTCTCAAGTTACTAGAGGTGAAGTCCGTTTCTCCTTGACTTTTTATTCCTATTTTTTGTTTCAGGTGAAGAGGAAGCCTCCCCGCCTAGTGCTGTGCCTCCAGGTCAGGATGATTCAATCCCTCCCACCTAGTAATTTACTAGCGAGGGAAAAGATAGAGCCTCTTGACGAGACAGTGCACAGGGCAGGGCGCCAGGGTCTGTGAGTGTCAGGACCAGAGCAATTTTTTGGTATAAAGGTGATGGATGGGTAAATATGTTTGTTTTCCAATGCCTGTTACACACCTTTTCCCTGTCCTTTACATATTTAGATTTTTGAGTGTTGTTATTGTGTTTTAGGTAAGATAACTTTATATATATGTTTTCAAGGTAGAAGAGCTACTGATTTTTCCACCTGGACCAATGGCCAGCTTATTTCTCCCCGTCATCAGAAGACACAGGGCTTGGGGTACCTAGGGAGGTTGAAGTTGACATTCCGTGTTCACCCCCTTCCAAATCACACTTTTCCTTGCAGGTGTGGGTGGTCGGGCCCTGGAAAGAAAAGATTCAGGTGAGCACCTGCCTGGAACAAGGCGTCCTGATTCCATCCTCATATAATCACTAAAGACCTCGTTTTTTTTGAAGCTATATTGATTCTAATCTTCGTTTCTTTCATTTTGTAGCGTTGTAGCCATTTTCATTATATTTACAAGAAAACTAATGTATTGAGAAACCATTAATTTTGCACAGCACACACACACATACACAAATTCAGAAACTAACTACATATCACAGGTTTGTCACTTTTATTGTTAACTATTCATTTTAATAGCAAATACATAGAGGTGGAGATACTGAAAATCTCCATTTTGGGGGTGCTGAAGTTAGATAATGGTTCCCATTTTTATGGTACTTTACATATAGTTTATAAAACACGTTAGACATTGGCAGCAATGCAGACAAATTGAAAAATTGTGTGATCATGTGACTACATTATATAGCAGCATTGTGAACCTGACGGTCTCCTAAGGATAGAAATACTAAGCATGACTGATAAGTGCAGGCTAACATAACTAAATATTCATTTTCCTTCTTTTTAAGAAACATTAAAATGTGGAGAGTTGGCAACGTACGCACTTCCCTCCCCAGTTATTAAGTGGCTGAAACTGAACGTTGCTTTTCAGCTCTGGAGACACCCAATATCTTCTCCTTACCCTCCTCATGGGAATGATTGCTGATTTGTAGAAGCCAACCACCTGAAGCACAGATTAGCAAAGGCAATATATACTTCGCCTCCAACCTGTCTTTCCTTGAGGAGCTTCTTTTTCTTTTTCCTTCCCATACAGGATGCTCCTATTTTCTTTAAATCTGTATCTTCAGGTTATGACCTTTCATTGTCAAATTATGGACACGTCTTTATAGTTCTGATGGCAGTGTCTTAATCACATAACAGCAAGGGATCTAGAGAAGTACCAGGCCAGGCGTGGCTGTCTGGCCCTTCATAGTGGATCTGCAAACTGATGCCTTCAGTTCTGTTTTCTTAAAGTCAGTGACCTGGAAACACAGACAGTTAATGCTTTATTGTGCTTTCCACTCTGATTTATCTGCTGGGCACAGGAAGGTAGGGGGAAACAAGGGCATTGTGGCTGCCAACAAAAAATAACCACCTACCTAAAAAAGTTTGTTATTTTTAGGAATTAAAAAGTCATCCCTGTAAGACTGGGAATCTGTCATCCTGTACTGATGATTGTGGGGGAAATGATGAAAAGAATGATGTTTCACTTATCCAGGCTAATTAGACAAAGAAAACTTCAGCATTATAAGAATCACAAGTCCAGGTAAGTCTGTCTAAGAAGAAGCTGACCCTGAAATGATCATTGACTTTCTTTCTGCTCATTAGAAAGTTCTCTTGGCGAATCACCGGCCAGGGAGGAACAAGACAAGCAGAATGTCAATCAGGGGCCCACCCTGTTTGTGGAAAGGCCTCAAACAGGAACAGTAAAAGTTGGTGAGTGCCTTGCATGAAAACCAATGGTAAAACATGGCAATGAAAGTCACATAAGATCAAACATTTTACAGGGATCAATCAGTGGCTATTAGTATAATCCGTGTTATGCATGTACCACCTCTGTCTAGCTCCAGAACATCATCAATCCAACTAGGAACCCTGTGTGCCCCGTTAAGCAGCGAGTCCACATTCTCCTCTCTCCAGTCATCTGGAAGCTCTAGTCTGTTTTATTTCTATGGATTGGCTTATTTTGAGTAGTTCATGTAAATGGAATCTCATATGACCTTTTATGTCTGACTCTTTCATTTAGCGTAATGTTTTCAAGATCCTTCCAGGTTACAGCACAATTTAGTACTCCATTCCTTTTTAACGACTGAATAATATTTCATCACATGTATATACAAAATCCTGCTTTCTTATAACTTACAAAGGTGAATAACAGCTAACATTTCAGTGACCTTTAGCATATAGTAGTTGAGTGCCTAGATTTTGGAGCCTGGTTGGGCTCAAATTAATATTTTTATCTGTAAAGTGAAGATAGTAATAATAATAAAAATAAGGTATTTACCTGTGAAGGACTTTGTATGGTGTCTAACATATCTTAAAATCAAGCCAGCATTTGTTGTCATTATGACACACTCATTCATTAAATGATTACAAATCACACACAATTGTTTCCAAGCAGTGTTTTCAGAGGCCTTGGAACAGGTGATTCAACTTTGGAGTTATTCACTTAGAAATCATCAATTATATACCTCCTATTTTAGGCATTGTGCTGAGCATTGAGCATGACATCTGAGCACTTAAAACTTAGAATCCTAATGGGGGGAAGAGACAACAAGAAATTAAATAAAGAAACAGGTTTAAATTTAGAATCTTAATGGGAGAAGAAACAACAAGAAATTAAACAAACAGATTTTCACAAAGCCAACTGCCAGGAAGGAAATGGTGAGCTAGAGAAGGACCAGAGTGTCCAGGAATTTTGACTAAGTAAAATTTTATGAAGGTTATATTGTGGACAAAACTAGTTTGTGACACAAGCCACTGTCACCCAAATGAGCTCTTAGCTGACTATATTCTAATATTAGTGCTGACAGGTCAAAAGAGAGTATGGACATTGCACAAAACAGAAGGATTTCTTCCTCTTGTGTTTATGAAAGATAACAAAATGCTGAGCTAGAGTTTTGAGTCCTAAGGGTCCAATCAATCCATACAAACATTAGCTAGATGTTCTTCAAAAAGATCAGATTCACTTAGTTTCCTATAATTCCAGACTTCCCACTGTGGTGTCTAATAGAAGAGGATGGGGAAAAATACATAGATGTACATACACACACATTTTTCCTAATGAAAATGACTTCCACTGATTATCCCCACTGTGTTTTTTCTCTTCCATAAACTTAAAAGCTGAACATGTCGGAGTATACAAAAGATTTCTAGGATATTCATAAAAAAAAGTTAGGTCTCCTTGGTGGTTCAGTTTTTAAAGTCTCAGCGCTATCAAGCTGTCATCAGCCGCTTTGCAGGAGTTCTGATCTCCAGCCCCAGAGCTGACCCACATGGCGCAGCAGACCTCTCCCGTCTCACCCACTGTTCCCCTCAGCAGTGTATTTCAGTAGATCTTCTTGTTCTGCTCCCCACTCTGCCTCTGGTGAACTCTCTCACCCCTTTCACCTCTGGCCTACCCCAGATCTTTTATGCATAAGTAAAAAATCAGTCTTTTAAAAAAATTAAGACCATTTCACTCCATGATTCTGAAAGCACCGGTATACCCATAGTTTATACCAGGCCATCCTGTGCAAACTCCTGTGCAAATTTCCAGAGAAGGAAAAAAATAGCAATTTTTAAACCTCAATCTGAATCCCTTGTGTTTGTTCTAGGTGAAAACATCACATTTATAGCCAAAGTCCAGGCTGAAGATCTTCTTAGAAAACCAACCATCAAATGGTTCAAGGGGAAGTGGATGGACCTGGCCAGCAAAGCTGGGAAGCATCTCCAACTGAAAGAAAGCTTTGAGAGGCAAACTCGGGTAGGAGCCCTCTTTCTGTGTGGGTCAAGCTCATTTTCAGTTCTACTTTGAGAACTTTGAGTCCCAGAAAATTCTCCTCAGTTCCCGCTCACCGCATCTACACTCTGGTGTGCCTGTGCTCCCTATTATTTTGAAAACATCTTTATGGGATCTCTAGATACAGGCAGATCTTTGAGCCAATGTTGACGAGATTGGAGAATAACTGTATTGTGGTGGCCTCTTTCCACTGCCAAGGTTCATACTAACGTGGGTCCCAAATCATTTCCCTGAAGGTGTACACATTTGAGATGCAGATCATCAAGGCCAAAGAGAACTATGCAGGAAACTACAGGTGTGAGGTTTGCTACAAGGATAAGTCTGACAGCTGCTCATTTGATCTTGAAGTACACGGTAAGCAGGCTTCTCGTTTGGGTAAATGTGATTATTTTTAATGAGGTATGAAGATGGTGAAGAAGATGCCATTTAATAGTAATAAATATTGAGAATTGTTAGGAGACTTTAAAAATAGAACATGGCGGGGGGGGGGAGTTGTTGCAAAGTCTCTATCCTTCATGCTCTCTGTATGCCTTCAGTTTCCCAGATAAAGGCTGATAACATTTTTTCCTGCTGTATAATATATCTGGCTCCAAGTAGTCCCACTCAGGTTTAGGGAAGTGGCAATATGGTATCAGGATATCCAAAGATACCCAAGTGGAAAGGAGGAGTTTTCCTGTAAGGACTAATGTCAAATATGGAAGTTCTTGATCATTATGTTCTATATACTTCCCAGTGTGAATTTAACTGAAATATAAGGGTCAACATGTGTATGCATGCACGAGTGTGTGTATACACATATGAGTAAACAAACAGGAAGTTGACTTGGCAGCAAAAATCATAAACTTAACATGAACCCAAAGTGTGATATAGTACATTCACTGCAATAAGCCCAAGAGTGCATTTAGCCTTTAGAATTCGCGCTATCTGCAGGTAGATACCTAGGAGTGGCATTGCTGGATCATGTGGTAGATCTATTTTTAATAGTTGAAGGAAGCCTCCATATTGTTTTCCATAGGGGCTGGATCGGTCTCCATTGTGAGTGTAATTTTAAACCAGACCATTGCAAGGGTCAGAGAATCCAGGTGGAGAAAACAGTGCTTATTTCTGCCACATGCCACATGTTCCACAAGTGGAGTAACACCTTTGGCCACGGCACCATACCTAACCTGGGTCCCTTTTGGAGTAGGGTAACTGAGGAAGATGAAGAATCAGAAACCCATGCCTTATTTAGTTTGAATATGTAGGTATTGGGGGTAGGTATATCTGACTTGCTAAGCTTGGGAAGGGCTGTCACATAAGTGAGATGAGAATCCAGGGATGGAAGTGACAAGGGGTAGGTTTTGTCTAACTGTAGCATGAGCTCTGCATGGAAATGAGAGGACCTCCTGAGAAGGTTGTGGGATTCCATTCTGAGAGGTGAAATGATCATGTGGGTGAAATATCTTCACTAGGCAGGAATTTATTTCTCAACAGTACTGCCTCAACCTAGTCAGCAACTCTAAGGATCATCTGAAGATCTTTTTAAGAATATTGATTTCTGGTTGCAACAGATTCCCCAACAGGGAACTCAAGAAGCACTTTCTTCTTTTTTTTTTTAAAGGTCTTCAGGTGATTCCGTGGGTAGGCAGGTCACATGACACCCAGTCAGGTATATCTTGAAGTCTCGTGAATGATTGAGTGTAAAGATAGTGAGTTTTGGGGTCTCAGCAGTTCAGCCATCCAGGAGAATCATAAAACTGTCTTCTTCGTGGGTATTCATTTTATTGTTTTCTTTCCTTTCATAGAATCAACCGGGACTACTCCAAACATTGACATCAGATCTGCTTTCAAGAGAAGGTAACTCCGAAAGGGGAGGTCTAGGTAACTTTATGACATGGAAGTACAGGATTTTGAAAACAAACTATCCGTTCCAGCTCATTCCATATTCTATATGAAAACAACTCTTTTCACTGTAGTCACACTGTAGTTCAAAATATAATGTTCTAGGAAAGTCATGGGCTTGATGTCTAATAAAGTACATGTTGATGATTGTTTAGAATATTCCTGTGACAGTGAAGCTCCTAGTTTTTGTGGGTTTCACCGTTGTCTTACAAAGACAGTTTCAACCTACTGAGATGCCGCTTCTTCCTTAATTGTCTTATTTCCCACCTAATAGCCAAAAATAGATATGTAAAAGTACATTTCTCCCATAGCATCAGTTAAGTAATGTCAGAAACCTTCCATTACTTTTCATCTAGAAACACAAATTATCAAACTATATGCCCAGAAAGTCATAATTAAGTAGCTACTTACTAAAGTTAGCACTGTTTAAATATTGAATTAATGTAAGACCATAGATTTCACTAGAATAGAGAACACTATAGAATGAAGATAGAGATATTTATTTTATTTATTTTGTAACTGCCAGTGATGAAAGAATCAGGTGCTGTTGTTTTACTCTCTGTACTAAATTCTTCCATAATATGAATTCATTAGTGAGAGTCAGTGCTTCATTGTCCCTAAAACTGAATCCACATGGTTTTGTTGAATAGTCATCCCAAACAATGAATTAGTTTGTTAATAAAAAGTATATTTTCCTCCTAAATTATGAAAAAAGTACAAACTTAAATTGCTTTATAACATATTCGATGTTACCTTACCTGCCCATCGGTATAAAATTTCTTCCCGAAATACCTGCTGTTAAAGAAATTTGAAAACACATGATTTGCATTCAGTTCTTATAACTTATATGTCCTGTACATTGTTTTTAAACCTGCAGACTCTTTTGCTAGCATTTGTAAGGAACAGGAAAGAAAAGCTTCATTAAAAAATTAAAACATGTACTGCCATTTAAATGTCAGTCTGCAGCTTCTATAAGAGTTCACGTGGAATCACGAAGCTGACTGCATGCCCAATTTAGGATACATTTCTCTATAGAAAAACACTTTTTAAAACTCCTAATAAAGGATTTTTTCAATAACTAATTTTTGAAAAATACAACTTAAAAGATACTGATATTAAGAAAAATGGAAGTTCATAATTACTTCCCTTTAAAACAGAAAGGAGTGTATCTTTCAAAAGTTCTGCACTAGCTCTATTTTATGTTATATTGTATTACATCATCTGATTTTTCCACTGATGGATACAAAGAGGTTATCTTGGACTATAAGCTTTGTATTTACATATTTGACATTGATACACTTTGTCCTTCAAGCCAATCTCTGTCTTACCTGAAGAACAGAGATCAGCAAAAGTCCTTTGCTTTTTACACAGGTAGGTTTCTAAAACCCCTCCTTTGCAAAGGCAAGTTCTTTTTTTTTGTTCGGTTTAGTTGCTTTTTTTTTCTCTATTTTAACACAAATCCAAGCAATTATATAAGTATATATGCAATCAACAAAAACGTATCTTCTGAAATCATAGAGTAACACAAGCTCCTGGTGTTTACTTTTCCACAAGTACATACTCCAAAAATGTAAAATGTCACTTGTGTGAAAAGGACTAGTTTGTGTTGATTTAGTTCCATGATTGTGTGCTAGTACAAAATTGCATATACGTTACATGTAGAGTGTTTGGAGAAAACTGTTGTGTCTGTGTCTCGGCATTAAACCTAGATCTGCTTCTCTTTTGTTAATGACAGTGGAGAAGGTCAAGAAGATGCAGGAGAACTTGACTTTAGTGGTCTCCTGAAACGTAGGTGAGAACCAAGTGATGGATGAGGCGTGGTGGCCTGGAATTCCTTTAGATATCCACTCAGCGCAGACAAGTTTTAAGTGGATGCTTTTCTAATTTCAAAGAATTTCTAATTTCTGAAAATGTGTTTGCATATTATAAAATATAACCGAGTCAACTAAGAAAGAGACAGAAAAACAACTGCATACTAATCACTTAAAATTTTAGCTAATGCTTTTAAATTCTTTTAAAATGTTTCATGATTTCATGTATGTTCTTAGTTGGGGATGAGGAGATTTGAAAACTGAACAGAAGACTTATGTCCTTAGAACTCTCTTGTTTTTCTTGCTGTTCTCTCATTTCAGTCATGATTCCTTATCATGGTTGAATAAATAGTCTTCATTGACCTGCCTTTGATATTTGACCAAAAAAATCAATTTCATAATTTTGGTATAAATCACTGCAGGTGGAGATATATATATATATATATATATATATATATATGTACATGTATGTATATATATATAAACATAGTTATATATATATCATATAACATTTATACAATATGTGTTAGATCTCCTTTAATAAAGTATTTGTGATTTGCTGCATTTCATCAAATCTGTGACACTTTGAGCAAGGAAAATATTGTTCTAAATAATCTACTATGACACATTGTGGATTATAGGACACATCCTTTTTTCAGAGAGAAAATGCCTAAAAAATGTGATAAAATTTTAGAGTAATAAAATGTAGCAATAAGATGGAAATAAAGCTCACATATTCTTAACATTGTTCTCTCATAATAAAACTTACAGATTTCATTATGTGTAATTAATATGTCATAATTTTATAAGATTTCTATATATGTACTTGCTGTGCATAATCATGAATATATTTATGTACTATATATAAAATCATACATATCTTAATATTTATTGAAGTGCAGAGGGAACAAAAATAGATTTTTGATGGGGTTATATTTACCTAGTAAATGTGTGAAAAAAGCAGAATAAAACAATTCAAAATTAAAAATCTACAATATTGATATCAATTTGAATTTAACTTTTTAGATTCACTTTTTATTATTTAGTGCTTTCTATGGTTATTAAAGAAACAAATGTAAATATGCTTTACAACAAATTACAAATAGTGATAAACTGTGCTTATGTTTATTCTCTGTGTAGTTGGGTGACTTTAGTTATGTCTTTATGAGAGGAAAAAGTCACCCTTATCTCTTAGATTAAGATCAGAAATGTTAATAGGTGCAATTTATTAATTACTGATGGACATTAACCACCCAGTAGACTTTGGCTGTATCAGTACATCTTTTTCCCTTGGATACTTAAAATAATCATTAGCCTCAATTATATTTTTAATTCCTCCAGTTAATTTAAAGCACTATTATATGGAGTGACCTTACTTGAGTCTCACTCTTCCTCCTTTAGGCGTGAATCATCAGACCGTAGTTGTCAAGTACTCATTCAGTCAACCCAGTTGGAGGCAGCATGGTGACCTATAGATAAATCAGTTTCTCTTTTCTGAGTCTGCTCACTTCCTTTGACCCCACTAAGAAATATCATTCTGAGTCTGTTCCAGAAATTGGTGCTTCAGGTTATATAACACTGTAGAAAGTCTAGAAAACTTTGTTACCCTGGTAATCGTTTACCAGGAAAATGCCAAATTTTGTAGTAGAAAGTAAATATTGTGTAGACTATAATGCAATGTAATGTAAGGAAAAGAAGTCCAGAAAGGAATTGATAGATATTTATAGGAGGGAAATAGTAGTGGTAAAATTATTAAACAAACCTCTATTGTTTAATAATTACTTGACTTTAGTCAAATCATACGTCCTCTGTGAGATTTGATTTCCACATCTGTTAAAGTGGAGAATAAAAACTTCCTATTATGAATTAATTATTAATTATTAAAACTAATTATTGTAAGCTTTAAATTAAATGTTAAAAGCCTGGAGCAGCTTTCTGCCCACCTGTACCCATGCAGACCTCTCTCTTTTTCTCCACCTAAAACACTGTCCTTTTAAAATGTAAAAAATAAATAAGTGTTAAAGGTCTGGCAGTTACAGTAGCAATGAAATAAATAGTCACTTCCACAAGGAAATGTGACATTTTCCCTGAGAAGTTTACATTTATAAAGAGACAAAATGCACACACACACACACACAATAATTAAGAATGTGAGGCCCTCCCTGGTGGCGCAGCGGGTTAAAGCACTGCACTGAGAAACTTAAGCCACTTCTGCATGAGTTCGATTCCCGCCTGCCCCGGAGGTGACCACATGGCGAGGCAGACCTCTCCTGACCCGCCCGCTGCTCCCCTCAGCAGTGTACTTCATCGATCTGCCTGTTCTGTTCCCCACTCTGTCCCTGGTGAATCTTCTTACCCTCCGCATCTCTGGCCTGTACCCCAGTTCTGTACGAATAAATAAATAAATCTTTTTTTAAAAAAAAAAGAATGTGATAAACTATTAAGCACCATGTTCTTATTTAAAAGGCAAGAAAGAACAGATTCATCTACCAGGCGTTTTCAGAGTAAAAGAAATCTAATAATAAAATCACTAAAGAAAAAAAAAATTTTAAAGGGCAGCAATATGTCTTCAGTTCTCATATTCTTTACATCTCCTAATTATGACTTTGACTCATAATTAGATCATTATTTTCAATAGACTGTTCATTTACTATCCTATACTAATCCACCAGTGTAACTTTAGAAATCATTGTTTTTTTACTAAAGTGTGAATTGCATGTGTTTTCATTGTGGTTATGACACATGGTTAACATTTCTACTGCTCCAAAAATGTGTGGCAATATCTCTATTAGATATTATGATTAATTTTATGAATAACATCTCTGTACTACAAAAGATCTCCCTTCCTTGGACAGAGCTAATTGCAGACGGACATTAGCTAAACCAGTGTAGATCTTTTTGGCAGCATCTTGTTATGGGATATGAACTATATTTAACTTTTATTCTACACAAAATTTTTATAACTGCTTTGTATATCACTAAGCTCATCAAATTATAGAAATTTTGTTGTAGATGAAAGTACTGTGATGTTTTATAGATCTATCCCAATGCTTGGAAAGGAATCAGAGGCACCCATAAAAACTGGGATTTTTTCTCCCTACTGTTAGTTAACACAGCCATGTAAATAAGGCCATGCACAGCCTCCATGGTAGGTAAAGATATATTGGATGAGTGAAGGAAATGCAAGAGGTAGGGATCTTGGTCATACATGCCAGAACAAAATGATGTATGCTGCTTGTAATTCTGGATTCAGTCAAGAGACGGGAGGAAATGAAGGAATTGAGTAGAGGTCATTGATCATTATTATCTACTTGATAATATTGAGAATGTGGTAGAGGTATACGTGGGGATTTTCAGGGGGAATCAGTGAGGATGATGGGTAATATGTATCCATCATCTAAGTTGATTTAAGGAGTTGCATTGAAAATGATGACCTTTCCTGTCATGTAACTCCTCACCTCATGGAACTAGTGTTTGACTTGTGCCTCCTATTAGCTATTTAAATTGTATCTAATTTGATATCTTTAAATTCTTTCACCAGTGTCAGGGAGACACTTGAAATGTATATGTGTGTAATTCCTAGTTGGCAAGTTATTACAAATATTCCAACTTGAGTACTATTAACGTTTTTCAATATCCCTGTAGTAATAAAGGAATGATTAATCCAGTGAGATGAAGATATTACTTGTGTTTTGAGATTCTAGGAGACACATTTCCTACTGGTGTCATTTAGTCCTTCCCACCAAGGCTTCTGATGGGCCCAGAAACTCTCCCTTCCTTCCATTTTTCCAAATTTGTTTCACCATCTTCCTACACTGGGCAAAAACACTTATATGGATGACAATGGAAGTCATTCATCCTTACCTAATACCAACCTAAAATCTATGTTAGTATTTATATTCTAGTTCCCCTTCCAATACAGCATTCCAGTATTTCCTCAAGAACTCTGAAATAGGTATAATTAATGTGACAATGCAAACATATTTCACATTGATGTGTAGGTATGTTGTCCAGTTTTCCTGAAAAATTATATCCAAACCAGTTTGATTCACAGTAAGTAGTCACCATAACAGTACCACAGTTATCTGATAAAAACAGTCATGTTTAAGCAAAATCAGGACTATGTAGCCAATGAAGAAAATAAATTCAAATTATATTTTGCAATTATACTAAGCCTTTTCCCCTAAAGAGTGTTTATTCCTGAGTTTTGGTTTCAAAACAGGAGCAAATATACTTTAAATCTTATGTATTTTAATTCATATATATTCTTTTTCTGTTAAGTATGGTCTTTAGTTAGTGATCAAAATTTTGATAATTACACTGAGAAGTGACTTTCCTTATTAATTAAATGCTAGGGCAATTGCCCTACAGTTTTAAAATTGTATTTTTATAACTCAAACCCAATTGGTTCCAAAAAATTTTCAAGGTGAAATGTGAGAATTTTCAGCTTCATTTTCTTCTATCATTTTAAAAAGGTCTTTCTTTTTAAATATATATACATACATAAGAAATATAAAAAACAAACCAAATAAAAGCTTCATAGTAATTTCAAATGTTCTTTTGTGCTTAAAACAGTAGAAAAAGTTAATATACACTTTTACAAATGCGGGAAGGAAATGCTATTTGCACCTCTCCCCCGGTCCCCCCTCCCCAAAATTTGGGCTACTGTATTTATAACTCTCATATACAGCTCGCGTACGTACATCAAAGGAAGTAGAAAGATCAATTTTCTTCCTTAACCCACTATTTAAATGTTTTAGTTGTGCATGCATTTTTCAAAATGATCTCATAACTATCTCCTGGATGAAACCCATCTTAAATTCCTCAAAACTCTCCCCCTTGAACGTAGACTTACAAGAGGAATATTAGTAAAATACCTTCAGGGTATTTTCTGTTAACCTTCTCTGTCCTGTTAACCTCCTCTGTCCTTAACACTGTTTTTAACTCAGAAACAAAAAGTGTTCATGTCTCTGCACGTGTCTGATCTTCAACTATCTGAAAGTTTTCCTGAGACGCAAGCTGAGCCAGTAGACTTTCTCCCTCGGCTTTAAGTCAACAGGTTTTAATTCAAAGGAAAACTTAGTACCACATTCCTGGTTTTAAGGGCTAGTGCACGCTACTAAACTAGGCAATGGTTCCTCCCGTTAGGGAGGTGAAGCAGCAGGAGGAAGAACCCGAGATAGACGTGTGGGAGCTGCTGAAAAACGCAAACCCCAACGAGTACGAGAAGATCGCCTTCCAGTATGGTATCACTGACCTGCGTGGGATGCTCAAGCGGCTCAAGCGCATGCGTAGGGTGGAGAAGAAGAGCGCAGGTGAGAGCGCCCCCTCTGGTAGCCTCAGTTGTACCTTCTTATTTTTAGAGTTTGTTTTGGCTTAATTTTATCTGTACCTTTAGGTCGACCCCCTCTATTCCACACATGAGGACAGTCATTTTTAAAGCTGCTTCAGTAATTTTCTTACGTTTTTTCCAAAACCTATGGATTCTCTTTAGGATTTCAGACCAACTTATTGTCTATAAATTGACAGAGTTAAATTTATCTTGTTCAATAGATTCTAAAATTTAAATGGTAATGTGGAAGCCTCCTATTTTCTTTTCCTTTTCAATCCTCAATTTGCCATGTGGTTTGGATTTTTCATACATGGATTGACTTTAAATTTATAGCGCATATCTCTATACATACTAATACAGTTTTTCTTATTTTCTCTACCAGCTTTTGCAAAAATTCTTGATCCTGCATATCAGGTTGATAAAGGTGGCAAAGTCAGGTTTGTTGTGGAATTGACAGATCCAAAGTTGGAGGTGAAATGGTTTAAAAATGGTCAAGAAATTCGGCCCAGTACAAAGTAAGTGAGTCTTACAAATAGCCAATGATAATTACAAATAATTCAAATGGTCGCCTGGAAATAAAAGCATTTTCTGGTTATGTCTTTATAATACAAAGTCATATGGAGGAAAAGTAAAAAAATTAAGTCACTTTTCATGTATTTTGAAACCATTAACATTATAGTGCTATACATTAAATCTTGTTTTTGTTATAATTCTACACAAACTATTTCAAGTGATTCTCAGTTGTGGCTTTGTGTCACTATGGGATCTAGTGATCATTTCAGAGCACTACCAAACTTGTTCCAAGTTTTTAAAATAATTTTTTAAATTTGAAATACTATTTGACATGTCAACTGGAATTGCACCTCAAAATTAGGTAGATTTTGTTTTACCAAATAGCATCTGAAAGCCTGTGTTTTATTTCTTGGCCCTCTCTCACATGAAAGAGACAGACTAATCCCTGATGTTTGACAGTATCTCTTGTCCATTAGGAAACTACTTTATAGAGATCCTTCTCAGCCTGAGAGATTTTCAACTCCAACTTATTTTTTTTAAGTTAATAGGAGCCACATGCACTTTTACAAAAGACTTTAATCCTGAAAATCTGTCACTTCTGGAGCACAATTAGGTGGTTTCCAATTTCTTAATATGATCATGCTGACCAAATGACTCTGTTATTAAAGGTTGTATCTGGTAGAAATCTCTTGAAGGCGGTCAGAGTTTACCAACAACACACTTTGTTTGGTTATCTTTGGCTATAAAGTGTTTTGTGTTTTGTTCTTGGAGCCTTTAAGATGTACTCAAATAGAATTTTTTTCTTTGTACCACTAATATATCCTCATATACCCATCTATAACCCAGGTCACAGATTATTAAATTCTTTGATTGTGGTATTTAGTTTTTGTTTCTGAATACTTAGCTTTTTTTTTCTCATAAGAAAATGTCATTCTGTAGAATTACTCCTAGTTAGTGATTAAATTCATATTATTGCTTAAATTGTATAATCATTTATTCACCTGGCAAAAGCTATTGTGTTACTGGACTAGGCAAAGAGTAGCATCAGTGCATCAGTGAATAAAATCAAATCTCTGTCCCCCATAAAGTCGATGGTCATTTTTCAAAATGAAAAGTTAAAAACTTCTCCGGCAAACCTCAACCAAACCTATTTTCAACAATGGACTGAAAAATTAAATAGCAAATATGCAGGTGTTGGAACAAAAAATTTATGTAACAAAATTAAATCAAATGTGCATGTATATTACATTATGTATTTAAAGGTAAAAACTGATTTCATGTTGGACATTAATTCAACTATGTAAGATATGCTATATAAATGGCAATTCAAAATTATATCCGTGATTGTCAAGCACCAAATTATAAGCTAAATTTATAGACCTAATAGAAAAGAATAAAATTGAATTCACAGACACTCCATTTGCTATCCTTCTATTTAAAACAGATACATCTTTGAACATAAGGGAAACCAAAGAATCATGTTTATCAATAACTGTTCGCTGACGGATGATTCAGAATATTATGTGACAGCTGGCGATGAGAAATGTTCCACTGAACTCTTTGTGAGAGGTAAAGTAAAATCTCTTACTGCAGTCACCAAGAATCCAAGGGTAATAATCAAAATGAAAGTGACAAGCTGAGCTCTGAGCTCCCAAGCAGAGGTAGTATTTCCTCTGGAAATGGTTTAGCTTGGGTATTAGGTTGCCTCTACACCGAAGCTCTTCCACACTCACTTTGTTATGAATCTTACTTTATCTTCAAGTTTGTTAAAGACTAGAAAATGTGGTGAGAAAAAAACCTGCTAAGTGAAAATTATTTATGATTTTGACTTAAGCAAGCAGTATTTTATGAAATGATTGTTTTAGTTATAGTTTCTGATCCAATCGTTTACTGGATAATTATTTCACACACTCAGTGGATTACCAATAGATTTCTCTAGAAACCCATTTATTAGTAAAAGGGCACCCATGGTGGGTTCTGAGAGTTGAAGATCCTTACTTGCTAAGACCTCTATCATCCATAAAAAACAAAATCAAAGAATCATAGTATTATAGCGACTCCTTCAGATATATCTATCACCTATCTTATTTACCCAAAGAAGGATATCTATACATGTCTAAAATAATCACTTGTTTGACTTGGAGCATTATTAAAAAATTGGGAAAATAAACAGGATTTCCAGTTATTTACTTTGCCAAGATATCGAAACTCACCCACTAATATCCTTATGTTAACTATAGCTTTGTAATAGATGATAGTTTCTTATGATTGGTGTTTCATTTGTGAACAAATCCCAGGTCATGAGGCTGGCCTTGGCAATTTAATAATTATGATTCTCCTTTTTTGTTTTTCTACACTAGAACCTCCAATTCTGGTGACTAAACAACTGGAAGATACAGAAGCTTACTGTGGGGAAAAAGTGGAGTTAGAGTGTGAGGTGTCTGAAGATGATGCCAATGTAAAATGGTAACTTTCTTGAAGTTGGTGTTTTAACAGGTTTTTCAAAACTACCTTCATTGTTTGGAGAACAGGAAATGATTTTTACACATATGAAAAAAAAACCCTCAACCTCTTTTGTGCTAGTAGAGATGGTAACTAAAACTATACAAAGTTATTGAAGGTTTTTTTCACCTATGAAACTGAAAAATAAAATCCAGAAATCAATATTGGTAAAGATATAGGGAAGTAGGAACTAATAAATAGAGGATGCAAGGCTAGCCAGCCTTGCTGACCCCAGAGCTGTCTTTATAATGTATTAAGCAGCACTTTGCTTACTAGTGTGTGCTAAGATGTAATATGCACCCTTAGTATCTTCTTCTGATTGATCTTCAATGGGAAGAGGGATCTTATGTTTTGTTTTGTTTTTTTTAAGATTTATTTATTTATGCATGCAAACTGAATACAAGCCAGAGGTGCAGGGGCAGTGAAAGGATTCACCAGAGACAGAGTAGGGAACAGAACAGGAAGATCTACTGAGGTACACTGCTGAGGGGAGCAGTGGGTGGGACAGGAGAAGTCTATTGC